ACAAATATATTACTTCACAAACAATATACCTATTTGTTTTTTAGTAAACATTAAATTATTATTTCTGCAGATTGCAATATAGATATTTTTTTTACATTACTAGCTCTATTTCACATTTAATTTCTATCAAAACTGTATGTTTTAAATTTCACTCATAACACTAATCTTCATAAGATTCAGCTAATAACTATTTGAAATATATCAAATAATTGAAAAAATGTCGATTTCGTATTGATAAATTTCATATTGATATTAGATATGAAAAGATAAAAAGCAACAAGAAAGCTTAGAAATAAAATGATTTCAACGGCTGAGCTTTAATTAATTTGGCAAGAAAATGAAAGATAAAAAATATTTAAGTGTCACTTATTATATTCAATACTACAGCGGAGAGATACGAAAAGAACTAAATCTTAAGTGGAGTATTCATACTTATTGTATAAAATTCTAGTGATAAAGTGGAGAAGAAAAAAAAACAGTCCATGTGCAAAAAAAAATATAAATCCCTAACTATCTTTTAAGTTATTGGGAAAGAAGATAGATTAATACTAAAGTTTTAAATTTGAAACAGCTTGATTTGAGTAAAACAACAAAATGTACGGAATTCCTTTTTGCGGAATTCCTTTTTTCAGAAAATCAGGTTTAAAATCGAAGCTAGTATTAGACTACAATTTTTTGGAAATAATTATCCACGGTACATTATTTAACTGTGCAATGTTCTTAAACAAATCTTAAATCTTCATTCAATTAAATGTATTTTTATAAAAAAGAACATTTTTTCAATCATAATATTAGAAAGTACAAAACTTCAATGGGTTCGGGGAATTTTTATTAAATGTACTTTAATTAATACTTTAAGTACCTTATGCCATAATGCTGGATCACAAATCTTTATCTCAAGCAATGATAAGCTACATTTTCCCGAATGTAATATTTATACGCAGATTTTTTTCCATTTGTAATGTTTTTAGATAGATAATTTACAAATTTTCTTAATTTAGACTAGGTATACACCCAGAAAACATGCTAATGCTTATAATATAGAAATTACGATACGCTTATATAAAAATTATGCTATTTTTTATCTATCGGAAACTGTTTGAAAATCCTTGTATTGCTACAAGCCTAATGCATTGAGTCGGGTTCGATTCCGGCAATGGCTGGTCGATACGAATTCCGCATCTGGCTTGCACCAATCACAGCGCTGACGTGAAATATCTTCAGTGGTAGGAGGATCATGGGTTGGAGTTCCCTTGCTGTCAGGCTAGCCGTGCGAGGTTCTCGTGGTCTTCCTCTCCATGTAACGCAAATGCGGGTTAGTTCCATCAAAAAGTCCTCCACGAAGGCAACTTTCTCCCAACGCTTGATCCAGGAGTTTTCTTGTCTTCTGGATTAGGTTCAAAATTACAAGGCTACGGAGTTGAACATTAGTAGTATTAAACCCTAAATTTTTTTCGGCTGTTCAACGACAGTTATAAAAGCGTACTATATTGCTTACACATTTGCGTTGCTTTTCTTCACTCCAGTAGGCAGTTTCAAATCATAGCTCTTCATTATTATGAAAAAGATAAAGATAAATTTTGTTGTGGAAAAGATTGTTGTTGGAATTTCTATTTGCTGAAAAGGTTCGATGAATTACATTGAGTTGAAAATGTTGATTGATTTATCCATATATAATATTAAAGTGTGATGCAGGCAAGAGTGATGTAGATATAACAATAGGAACTGATTTAATGAAGAATCAAATTCTATAAAAAATAAAGAAATATTTTATTTCAGAAATATGGAATTTATATGAGTCTCCAAAGTAAGGAGATGGTTCCTTTTTGTGTACTTATAAATAAATGAATTTTGAAAATGGCCCAGAGGCCCAGAGGGTTTGGCTGCAGGAGGGTGTCCTACGGGACAAATCACCGTCCACCAAGATATAAAAAATAGGGAGTTTTTGACAAGGGAAGTTGTTTATATTGGAATCCATGAATTGGATTCTAATTAATTAAATTTATTGACAAGGATATTTATCTTAGCACTATGCATTCAAACGAGATATAATCATGAATTTTAACGAATTCAAAGTATTAGTAACCACATAGTAATAAAAATAAAGAGAAGGCATGGAAAATAATAAAGCTGAATGAAAAGAGAAGACGAAAAATTCAATTGATGAATGAATAAATCTTCAATTATTGCATATAATAACCTAAATAATTGTTACAAGTTTCAAATTTATTGCGACATTTTTTGGCATAAAATATTCATTTTTTTTCGTTTGTAATTTATTGTCGGTCCCTCAAACCTGTAAAAGCTTTAAACTTCATTGACAAATATGAGAAATTGCATATCCTAAATACTGCCTCGTTATAAAATGATTCTCTTGGCATTTTTTGAGAAAGATGAAGAAATGTAATAGTATAGAAGAGTTTTGATTATTTATATATATAATTGACNTATATATATATATATAAGATTTTTAAAACAATATTATACACGAATTTTTAAAAAAATAAAAAACAAAATATGGTAAAGATATCTCGTCATCAGCTCACAATATTGTATTTGCAAAATATATTGATATATGTATTATATATATATATATATACAAACGTTATATACACAAACATGTATAAGAAACAGTCTAATAGAATTATATTTTTACTACGATATAATATCCGCGAAAAGTAGTTTGGATTTTTTTTAATTCTTATTCTGAAATTTATCAATAATCGATTTTGTAAATTCAAAAAACTTCAATGATGAGTAACTGATTTTTAGATTTGTATCAATGCAAATTTGAAAAAAAAACATACATTACACATTAACACATTTCACGTTTTTTTCTTTAACGCAGAAAAGTGCACCGATATTTTATGCTGTATTTTAAAATCTTAAATTATTAAGCGCTACATATAATATTTTTCACTTATTTTGATCTAAACTGATAAAAATTAAAGGAAAAAGTATAAAAAATATGTTTCATAAAATTTCTGCGTCAAAGAGTTAAAATGCTTGAAATGGTAGCTTATCACAATAAGGTCACAAGCCCTTCAAAAGAAAAAGTCATATGAAGCTTTATTAAAAAAATATTAATTAAATCAATAAAAATAAATCAATAATACCCTTCTTGATAAGATTAAACTAATCACCTTTCCAGATAAAATAAAATAATAAAAATCGATTTCGTGTTCGTTGGTTTGATAAATTCTCTAAAGCAGCTCGAAGACTCGGGAGGAAAAAAAATGCATCCGATAGCTAAGCATTCTTTTTTAATCCGGTAAGAAATAAAAAAAAAATAGTCACATTTCATCTAGCAATAAAGCGAAGAAAAGTAAGAATAGACCGATGCGAAGAAAGGAGGGGAACGAAGTTTCTGAAAAAGTGAAAGTTATTTATTGGGCCAAGTTCTTGAAAAACGAAAATGTTAATAACGAAAATGGCCGCTGGTGAAATTTATATCAGTAAGTCAGGAAGTAGAATACTTTTTTCAGCCTTTATCTTCGTTTGGAAGTTTCTTTTTCTTTCTTTGAGCAAGGGGTTTGGTTATCTTATCTTTTGTTTTTTAATAAGATTTTCATTTGATGTTTGGCGTAAATATAATGAAAAGTAGGAAGGAAGTCTTATCTTTTTTTTTTCATTTCTCACAAAAGCCTCTGGGATTTAAATCTTATATTTAATCTTAAAGAAGACAGCACATTTAAGAGCGTTTTTTTTTCTTTTAGAAAATAAGAAAGCTTGAAAAAGTTCTTATTTGAGTGATTTTACAGCACTCTAACTAAAATTACTTTGTAAATTTTTTGAGCTATTATTTAGGGATATATGAAAAAATGCATGCGTCTTTTCATATTTTAAAAGAACTTGGAGTTTTACTTGAGCTTTTGCAGAATATGAAGATTAATAAATGCAGAATGAGATATAATGATACTTTGATAAAATTCTCTGTGCACTAAAGGTGTGAGCAAAGGATTTTATTGCTATGAAGTCTGAAAAAACTCCCATTTAGCGAACAATGTCTTTTTTTAAAACATTTTTCCTGTCTTGTTTACATTTAAGATATTTAAACTATACTGTAAGTTATGTAAAGTGTGCTTTGAGAAAAAAAAATTAAATTTAAACCAGTACTCTTTCATCGTGTTTCAACATTATTCTTACCAGAGTTTAAGAAAAAAGGCTTTTAGGATGTATGAAGTTTAAAGATGCATAATGACACTGTAATACAACTGTCTGCAATGTGCTATTCTGGATTTATCTGGTACTATGGAATGACGAATGGAAAATGGGATAACTGTAATTTTAAAACAGGTTTATTACTTACTTGCATCTAACAAAATTAAACAATGTTTATTTTAAGAAAATGCAGGTTTAGAAAAAGTATTTAAGGCAGTGCAATTTTTTAAAATGTATTTTTAAGCCATATTTTTAAAAATCAATTTCTCAGAAACCATTCGACTGATTTCGCTTAAATTTTGTAGTTTGCTATTTTAAATTGCATACTTTAAAATTATGTTAAAATTATATACCTTACAAGTATTAGTGTTTCGACTATTATAAAATAAAAAATACGAAGAATTTGCCTAAAATTATAATTTGTATTGGATAAACGAATTCATAATTGGGAGAAAACATTTTTCAATTCTTTTAAGAAATACTCAAGATATGGGGAAATACGCACAATTTGGTGAAATATTGTTTTGCTCCCTGTAAATTCACTCAGTATAACAATCTAAAATATAATTGTACTTATTTTGATGAAAAACACCAAAATAATATAAATGAGTGGTTTCACATGTAATGTCATCTGTCCTTGTCAAAAATGTAAATTTAATGAACCCCTCCTGACCTATGAACTAAAGAACGTGACCTATGGACTTAAGAACAAACATTATTTATGAGTATTTTTCCCTTAGTATACAGAAATGATTTTATCTACACATTACCAATTTTCATTCGGAAATGCAATTTATGTGCAGTTATTATTTTTTTTCTTTCAAAAAATATTTCAAACACACGATAAAAGTATTTTATTTTGGAGAAGTACAACACTCTTTTTATTCAACGTAAACTTTCCTTTGAGCAAGTCTCGTAAACTATTCAATTTCTCTTCAAACTTCAAGTTCAATATAGTGGCAATCTTTTAAAATTGTTGAACATCATAGAAATTTTACTTTTAGTAATGTCACTGAATAGTCCACCTCGTACTTTAGCACAGACTAAATTGTCGGTGTTGAAACGCTGTCCGAACTGCCGTCTGCGTTACAACGGTAAGTCATATCACTTGCAACAATGTCCTGAAGGGAAAAATATCCATTTGTCAAAAGTTTAAAGATTGTTTTATTTACATCAAGAGCATTTTTTAATGTGTATTTTACAATCTGAATGCAGATTACTTTATTCCTCACGATAGTCGATTAAAAACACTTCCGAAAAATGTTTTTGTTATGGAAAACTCTCGTTACGTTTCCGGAAGAATACAATGGATATCAGTGTATTGTGATGAGTTAGAAAGTCTTACTGCTCTGCGCAGTATATCACTGCACTGAGCCTCCCGGATATTGCGAACTATATATATCCTTACATGCCCTCAGGATCGTAGTAAGTGAATGTTGGCAAAAAAGAGACATGTGAAGAAAAGGATTTCACATAGAAAAAATTTCTGATCTGATTGAGGGCTTGTCGTAAAGCTGCTGGACACTATTTCTCCAAAATCTCCACTGTATTCTGCATCGTACATGTCTAATGTGTCATTTGTACCTGAAAAAAAAACAAATTTCAAAATAAATAATAAAGTATTAGTCCTAAATACATAGCGTTTAATAAATTAGCTCATTATTTCAGTTTGATGATGTATCAAAACGGTGAAAACGTAACAAAAAGTTAGAATTAGGTACACGAAACGCTTCATACATGTTAAAATTTTCAATCTTGTATTTAGTGGTACTGTGATCTATGCCATCTCTACTAATCCATTTATTCCAACTGTCCGAATGAATAACACATGCCCTGAATACCATCGGTCGTTTTATACAAAATAAGGCATGCCTTTTGTTTGAAGGTTTAGATATCGGATATCAGTAAGACATTCAATATGCCTACCTGGTAAATATTCGATCTGTAATCCAGTCAGAATATACGTAAGAAAAAAACTTAACACACGTCTTTCAACTTCAATTATCGCCTTGTTTTCTTATTTACAGAGGCTATTAAAAATTCTCATAGAAATTATCACCTTGCAATTAGTGCTAACTAAATAATTAATTTTATGTTACGTAAACTAATGCAAGGTTAGGTGATTACCAGTGTTATATCTTTATGTATGCAGCTATAGAATAATGAATAGACTGACCAGGCAAAATCAGTATGCAGTCAGTATAGTTCGTAGAAAAAATTTAATTGCGAATGCTCAGTCGAGGAATTACATGGTATGTGTGAGTATAGATATAGCTTATGGATTCGACTGTCTGGCAATTACATGAAGAGCCCCCAAACTAATTCACTGTGACCTTATCTCGTGGTTGCCAAACAGTGCATCTTCTTCTACTCATTGCGTTTATTGACATTTTACATAACTTATTTAAACCTTGTGAGTACTTGCTCATTTAAAAGGAAACCTAAATTCATTCACAATTAGAAACGTCTTTAAACTTAGCATTAAAATTTAATTAAACATTGAAAATAAGAGTTTTTATAATTTGAAAAAATATTTTGGTGCTCTACAATGCTTATTGACACCATTTTCGAATTATCAATACAATAAAAATTGTTTACTTTCAAAGAACGTGTTCCATTTATCATGTTTTATGAAAGTAAGTAAATTCCATGCATTTTTTCACTAGCTTTTAGTTTTATACAGGTGCTTGTTGTATTCTAAACTCTCTTTTTAATTTCAGTTGATCATTCAAGGGGATGCCACGTAACAAAAGACGTCAGTGTTCTAGAGGTAAAAATTTTTACAGCCATTTTCTTCGAAACGTATTTTCAACTTGCATAAAAAGTGTTCATATACTCCGAAAATCTAACTTTATTTAATTTTAATGAGTTTAGATAAGATTATTACCAAGAGTACTTGATAATTGAACAATAAGAAGTTCTATCTAAATATACTAATTTTAGATTTTTTTTATTCCATTTATTGTGTCTAGTTTGCTTAATCCCGATTTTTGTCTCACCAGAAAATTTCTTTTTGGCCACCTAAAATGCCCTCCTCCAGAAAAAACTTCATTTTTGTTTTTATAAATGCCTAGAGAGTATATATAAAATGTAGTGAAAATAATCCTCTTAAATTTTGGTTTTTGAGGGATAGGATCAAGCCTTCTAAAAAGCCCCTTAGACCTCTAGAATTGCATGAATCATGTTGAAGGAATCTCTCTTAGTCACTAACGTCGTTTACGTTTACTCTTCTGCAGCACTTCCTCCAGTTAATTTGCGAACTTGGCCTTCCTCTTACCGTTCTTCATTTTCAGAATCCGGAAATCTCTCCATCTTCATCTTTCTAAAACGGGCTTAAGAGGATAATTCGTGAGCATTGTAGGTTTGAAATATGATATTAATGTACTGTATATTCAATTTGAGAAGAGCTCCAAACTGTAAACATGTTTTATTGTGGTCGTGATGAAAACAGACGCATTCTCCACTATTGTAGATGGGTTGGAATGCTTTTCTTTAGTGTAATTTAAAATTCCAAACAGGCGAACAAATAATCAGGACCTGTAAGAAAGCATGATATTTGGCTCCATAACATGATCAAGAATCATTTTCACTGTCTCGTCTCGTTATTTGTGGACAGTATGTTATTAGGGTTGATGTGTTTGACTTTTTCTAACATCTGCACAAAAGTGCTTACCACCCACTTCCGAATAAGAAAAAAGAAGTAACCTCCGTTTCATAAAGAGAAGTTAATCAATCCTTTTAAGAGAAACAAACCTAATAATTCCGAATTTTTTAATTAAAATGATCATATGAGACTTGTAGAGGAAGAAGTGTATGAAATATCTCTAAAAGTTATCTTTGCTATGATGCATTTTTTTATCAGTCCTGTCATTTATATTTGTTCTTTCGTAGGTTTTATAAATTTAATTTTCAAAAAACCTCTTATTTTAATTTTTATGCTATTTAATGTCTTTGTAATGAGCACACAAGCCAGTATATGTATGTGTAACAATAAATAAATAACCATGGGGCCTTCCAAGCCCAGTAACTAACGACTTTCCTTAAACAATTTTTAAGAAAAGACTAATAGCAAAAAAATTACTTTTGGTATTTATACCCTGAAAAGAGTAAGGCTGGCCCTTTACTGAAAGAGTGAGAGGAAAGAATTGGGTGTACAAGGGGGTGAGAATTACCATACGTTAGCAGATTTCTACACGGAAGCACATGGGGCAGGTATTAATTTGGTTTGTACTCATTCGAATTCTCCTTTTGGAGAAAACCTTTGACTTGCCTCTTCTGAATTTGAAAACGTATATGGAGGTCTCAACAACTCCCATATTTCTCCCAGAGTGTTCCGTTGAAGTGGTAAATGCAGTAGAGGCCACACCTCCTAGAAGAAGGAAGGCCTCATCACGGATCAATTTAGTAGTCCGATGTGAAGAAGTTAACTGCGAAGTTTATGAAAAAAAAAGAAATATATCATTACGTTTGGACTACTAAAGGATATTTATGGTAACCCGTGCTGAGGCCTACTCTTTTCTAGGAGCTGTTGGTAGAGGTCTCCTTCGGATCTCTTGCGGAACTGCCTTACCGAGGGAACTGCCAAGCGAAAGGGAGGCAGGATTTTTCACTTGCTTTTTATTATGTTGCATTGGTGGTCTTCATAAAAACGAAGCCAATATTGGATTGGTTCTTTAATAATAATCTTAATCATTCTTGCTTTACATTCTTATCCCACCCTCCACAAATAATAGATATTGTCAATTAACTTCTCCGAAAATTTATGTTTCAGTTTTGTTTCTCTCTTTTCTGACGATTATCTGAGTTCCTTATATATTTTGCAACAACTTGAATTTCACTGATAAATAAATTTAAACAAACAGAAAATTTTTTGGAAAAACTATACTTATTACTAAAGTAGGAAAATACAATAAACCCCACAACACTGAGTTTGTGTTGTAAGTTTAAGCAAATATGACTATTTAAGGATAATAAAATATTATAAGTTACAAGCTTTTCCCTTTTTCGGTAATACATATAACCCCACAAAAAGTTTTTTCTCGAATCTTTGATTTTCACAAACAGTAGTATCAAGGGAACATAATAGCTAATAATTTTGATTACTTTCTAAATATATGGGAATTTTTCTGGTTTTTAGAGAATTTTTAAACTATCTTTTGCCACTTAAAGTCGGAAATTTTTATCCATTTATAATTTCAAATTATGCTATGTACATAAATTAAGAATGCCTTACACAAAATAAGCTTTTTTTCGTATCTTAATTTCAAATTTCCTTAATTTTAAATGCAAGAAACAAAAAAATATATATATTCTTACATAAGTCTTACAAGGAATAAATTTGCAACTTTTATCGAGATATAATGATTTTTAAAACCATTCGAGCATCCTCTAGGAGCTAGTATAAAACGACCAGAGCGAGTTTAAAAGTAGATTTTTTTAGTTAGCACATATACTGAGTGGCGTAATTACCCTCAATACACTGTTGTACCACTTTTAGCCCATAATACAGCTCGAATTCTTCTTGGTCTATATTCAATGACATGTGGGTTGGAGGAATTTGTTTCTCATCAAATGAACTGCAATTTTCAATTCCGTCAAATTACATGGCACTGGATCCAGCTGGCAGATGCCCCGTCGGATCTCATCCCTTATTTCTCAATTGGATTGAGATCTGGTGATTGTGTGGGCCAATGAAGCCTAGTTAAGTCAACGCCCTGCTCTTCGAACAATCTGACGACAATACGAGCTATATGACACGGGTCATTGTCTTGCCCCCCCCCCGGCCGGCTATACCATTAACATCACAGGATGTACTTGATCAGCGATAACACTTAAATACCCTTGGGTATGCAAGTGTTGTTCCACTGAAATCAAAGAACCAATGCGATCCCAAGAAAGCATCCCCCAAACCATAAAATTGCCTCCACCAGCTTGAAGTGTTGTGGGAATGCAATTGGGGTCCATGCTTTCGTGCTATTTTCGCCATATCCGAACCCTGACATCTGCATGGTGTAATTGAAAACGCGATTCATCAGACTTCATGATTTTTTTTCAGCCATCTACTCTCAAATCTTTATGCTATTTTGCAAACTGGAGGCGTCTGCTCTCGTTCAAGTCTGACAACAGAAGCCTTCGTGGAGGTCTTACGCTCTCAGAGCCTATATGGTGTACTGTTCACTGCACAATTCGTTCAAAGACGTTTAAACTTGCACCTTCATTAAAATCCTCAGCTATATGATGTACAGTCCGCAAAAAAAAAAAGATATCACCCTGAATAACTTTCGTTCTAATGATCGGATTTTCACGAACTAAAAGTCAATCTTAATGGTTACTGGAGGTGACCTCAAATATGCTAATTAATTAGTGCTAACTATTAATTAAGTTACGAAATCAGACACAAAAGTGTACTTTCTCCGAATAAACATACATTTTTTTTACATATTTGGATTTTTCATCTTCAAAATATAGAGTGTAGCCGCAATCTGGGAAATGTGGTCCCCATAGTTTGGTCAGGAGAGCGATTCAAAGTTCGGGCCCCTTAATGTTAATTTCGCTTTTTGCGTTTTCAGTCATATTTTAAAAACTTATGAAGCAATTCAAAAAAAAATGCACCCACTCATAAAACTCATTTACCCAAAGATAATTTCATGAAAAAAATAATTTTTAACAATTATTTATTATTTTTTATTATTTAATTAAAGTGAGGATGAAAAAATATTGAATTATAAGGTATGAATTTTTTTATACCATATTAATCTACATATTTTTCAAT